ACTAGCAACAACAAGCGGCTCGATGACTTTATCAAGAAAACTCAATTACAAACAAACTCAGCAAATGATGCCTATTTGGAATGGATTCCAGACGATTGTATTGGTGTTGGAAATTACTTGTATGGTCTACCTACTGCTATTCGTGAATATGTTACATTGGTTCGACTTGAGATAACAGACGAGACATCTGATTTATATTATGCCGAGGTAAACTATTTACTTATGCGTCATGTTTGTTGACTAATTAAATAATTATTGATTTATTTATGTTATCATTCTCACTAGTTATGTGATAAGCATCCAGATATTCTTGCCACAGATGTTTGGGTTACCATCGGATTTACATACAAAGCAAGCGAACAAAAGTATTGTCTAATAAAAGAGAGTTACAGGCCGACGTTATGCCTGGCGTGTACAATGCAATTTCATTATAATATAACGTCATTCTGTTATAAATGTAAAGCACCAAGACCGCTCAATTGGACGACTGGCAACAAGTCTTTGGATTTATTTATCATGGAGTCATGGCATAATGCGACCAGTATGGACGATGAGTACATACAATGGATCGAATACTCCGGGTTATCAAACGTACAAGAGATGCCATCATTACGCCACGGATGCACACTTATAGCGAATTGGTTAGAATCAACAAAAATTGGATTGACACGCGTGACGCTCAAAAAAATAGTTGATGGAGATGATCAGTCGTTTGATTTCCATCGGGTAAACTACTTCACGTTAAAAAATGCCAATTAATAATGCGTACCGTGCATTAACATGTCGTTTGTAACAATTGTATTTTTATAGCTAATCAAGGAATACCCAGAGATATTAACACCAGACTATTTTTGGATAATCGGGATCGCCCAGAAACCGTCTACTCGAGAATACTATTTAGTGTTCTATCATGACATACATGCAATAGTGGACAGGCTTATACGACTTAACGATGATGTTAATATTAACTACATGCAATATGGTGACTTTTATGATCTCAAAGAAATTGGATCCGGTGGTTATAGAACAGCTTATACTGCCAAATATAGAAGATATTCGGAAGTCCATCTCATGGGTGAAACTATTGTACTCCTACAGTTTAAGCGTTTTGATGAGACGGATGAATTATTCATTACCGAGGTAAGTTATAATTGTAGTATTAACTAAAAATATATTTAATTTGACATGGTATTGTTTTATTTAATAGTTCAGAAATTATATCAAGTGTTCAGAAAGGCTTGTACTTGACGCTCATGGAGTCACACAAGTCCCAGAAACAAACGAGTACATGATTGTTATGGGATGTGGTGATGATGGTAATCTTTGGTCTTATTTGGATCAAAAGATTAACAATTTGACATGGATGGATAAATTAGTGCTTTCATGGGATATGTCAGCCGATCTGTGTTCTATTCATTGTATAGGATTAGTACACTGTAATCTTCATGGTGGAAACATTGTTTTTGATGGAAGTTCTCCTATGATTTGTGATCTTGGCCTTTCTCGATCGATAAAGTCACACAAGTCAAATCCAACTATTCGAGGCGTTTTGCCCTTTATTGCACCGGAAGTCTTCCGCACCCGCAGATTTACGCAGCAGTCAGACGTGTATTCTTTTGGCATTATTATGTACTTGATCGCTACCGGTGAACTACCTTTTAAAAATAGGCAGTTTGATAGAGATTTAGTATGCGATATCATGGGCGGACTACGACCATCGATGCCTGAGTCCGCACCAGAGGAATACAAGAAAATTGCCGAATGGTGTTGTGACGCTGATCCTGATAAGCGTCCTGATGCAAATACACTTTACATATATTTTAAAAAGATTTACGAAGAGCTTGACAAGGACAGCGCATGGTTTACTGTTTATCACAATGATGAAAAACCATTATCACGTCTTGAGAAGAGGTAACTCTTATCTATACATATATAGGAGATTTACTTAAAATTGAGAAATAACTATAATTTAGATTCAGTTGCATATATGACGAAAACAATTAGTTACGGTTGATACTAATTACAATATTAATATTACACCTCACTAATTACCTCATAATTTTAGTAACTCAAGTTTATAAATAAAACAGTAGTATATAGTATACTACTTTTATTCAAAAGTTTACCATCTTAAAGTTAAACTAGGATGAAAAATAATTTAAGAGGTTTCGCTCGGTCAGTAAGCGATAAGTCTGTATGTTGTCTGCCAATAGTTAGCATTCAAAAAATTGTGCACAAATTAAAGTATTATTCAATTTCGTTGTTTAAAATAGGACTTTTTTTTTATAATTGATGACTGGTATTGAAATTGTGTTATATTCTTTTATTTGCATAGTAATGCTTTTAATTTGCGGCAGTAAGACCAATTACATGTTATCACCAATTTTAACATACATACTATATATAGACCAACTATGAATTACATAGTGCGCTAAAACTAAAAGCGCTTTTATTAGCAGATAAATTTTGAGTATACCAATAATTATAATAAATAATTTATTCGTGTGTAGAAAATTACGCACCAAGGCATGACATTGTACCAAGTCTGTTCTGAGACATATAAACATTTGAAGAATAATTGTCGTGACGTATATTATATGCCAGCCATTCCAAGTATTTATGCACACATACATTACCTATTAAAACTATCGGCACAAACTAGAACATCCTGAAATGTGGAAAGAAACGATATGTATTATATGCATAATGCTAATCGGATTCCATGATTGCTCTAACTACTTATACTACTCCAACTATATACAATATACTGACGTTGAAACAAGTGACTATGCCTCTCAATCATCACAATACGACCAAGTAATTAGTTCTAGCTCCCAGGCTGTTCATAGAGGGACAAGTGATGGTATTAGTTAGCATGCATAATGTGCTGCAAATATATATATTCAAATCAATACTGATATCAAATGATATACTAATATTAATGTTACGGGCCCCATTCTGGGAATTGGCTATAGCAGATGCTAAAATCGGTAATGATGATGATACGTGTAATCCACAAGAGCTTAAACCACCAAAAAGCTGGGGTCATGGTGAAACGTTAACCTTAATCGAAATAATGAGAACGCATTATAGACCCCTCAATACAGCGAAATCGCCCATCCAGAAAGGGAGAATTTGGCAGTCCATATGTAATGAATTTAATACTATTTATTTATTATTCGGATACATGCAGAAGTGACAAGGCCAGGTAAAATGTTTCAAGGCATTAAATTTACTTATGAGATATACGTGACTAAAAGATATTAATTGATAGGTGTGATAAACTACTGGAACATTATAAGAAAGTACGGGATAACAATCGGAGAATGGGAGCTGAGCGTATGGCATTTGAGTATGAAGAAATTGGGACTGTACTGGTTGGTGATCCGATATTCGATGACGCTCACGATTCTGAGAATAAGAGACATCCATTGCAAACGGACGGAAAACGCGGCAGAGACAGGAAAGTGAAACGAGGAACGGCACCATAGAATTAATTAGTATTAGAGAGTTACATGAACAACATTGTGAAGAAAATAGAACTTATCGCAACAGATTATTAACGTTACTGGAAGCGCTTGTTTCAGGATTGAATAACGACAAATAGTTCGGTAAAGCGTGTACTGAATTTTATATTATTAATTAAATAAGTATCTTGTTATTGCATTTTTGTTCTCCGCATGGAGGTGTGTATTCATGTTAGTAAACGTATTTAAACTTTCATTATCTTCATTACTGAGTATGTATGGATCTGTGATAAGGTCATCGCATTCAGTGCAAATGTTATGAAGAATACAGCGAACATCAACGATGTCTACTATATTTTTCATATCCGCAATCTCCATGTTATTCTTCAGTATACGCCATCTTGGCTTGAGTATTTTTAAAAGGTACCAATAACCAAGACATGAGCGGGAATGCTGAATTGCCTAGTATACCTGGTTTATTAGCTTATTTGAAAAGTGGAAACCAACAGATTTATTAATAATAATTAATAAGCAATTCTCTCTCCGTGATTTTCAATAATAAGCTCACGGTGATGTCTCATTGAGCTCACAAGATTTTTTATAACAGTATCCGGGATACTTCTCCACTCCACCACCATAAATTGCTCCAGTTCATTATTATTTTGGGCATCCGTTTCTCCACATTACCCTTCACAAATTTTCAATAGGATTTAAGTCATGACTATATTGGATGGCCAGTTTCATGACTACTGGAGCATTCTCATCAAGAAAGGCTTTTGGCAAGATGACTCGTATGCTTGGGTTTATTGTCCTGCTGAAACCTCCAGTTTTTTTGTTTTTTTTTTCTTAGCTTTTTTATATTATCATATATCATTATGCACACCCTCATTCCATAAATATAATAAAGTTTTACATTGTAATTCTTTCCTGGTAGCAGACATTGTGCAATGTTTTATTCAAAAAGTTACATGTGTACGCAATAAAAAAGTAGTTTAACTTTATCCCTAAATCTTTGGTTCCAAATTAGGCATGCTAGACGCGTTTTTGTGATGCATACAATTTTCCAGTTTTTTTTTACACACTGTAAATCCCGAAAGATATTTAGAACACTATGCCGCCATTATTAATTTTAGTGGGTTCTCACTTTACCAATTTCTTTAATGAATCATAAGCATTTCGATATAGAATTCAACCATATAAGAAAATTTTAAATAATGAAACAAAATCTCGATTTTGTTTCATTGATATATAATAAACTTACTACTTGAAAACCCCAAGTGCAAATAGTAATTATTATTTTGACAAGATTCTTGGAATAATTTCATCAATTACACATAAACCCCTTTCAGTAGGACATAATCTTCTATTTTTCTTTTGTTTACTTCCTCCATTTATCTTCTCACCCTTGTTCTCTAACTTAAACTCCATTGTTGAGCCTTTTGGCACATTGATAAATTCATTTTTTTGCCATTCCAGTAACTGGTTAGCTATACAATATTGAAGCTGTTCTACATTTAAATGCTGATAAAATTACATTAAAAGTCATATAAATATAAATTTGCACTTTATGGATAATTATAACATGCCTACCTCTTCTAGTTCCTGTCCACCAGAAAGTCTTCCAAATTGTTCACATGACACACCCATCTTACTTCGAAGGCCAAAGACAACTAGTTCATCTGAAAATGCCATAGTTATCAGCTCAAAGCAGGTATTATAATCAATGCTATATACCATTAATACCTTTCACTTCTTGTAAACTTAATACCACTGATTTCCTTAATCTAAATATTTGATTAGTACAATAATGGTAATATATTAATAGTCTGTACTAATACTAAGATATTATTACCCATGGCCAGAATCTTTGCACTGAGACATCCATTCATTAGGGGATAATATCTAATTATAATGTCATGTAAAATTATAATAAATGTAGGTCAAATCTTTTTAGAGCTAGTCTACAGACATAATATATATTAATACTCATACATTGTATGTCCTTTTCCTGGCACCAGATACTGGATCAGTAATTCTCCCATGAGCCCCAGGGCCTATCCCTTTTAACAAAACTATTATCATCACTTTTCATAAATTCAGTTCTTTTTAGTATTAATTAAAGCTTACCAAGATAATCTAATCCAGCCCAGTATCCAGAATTATGATGACTGTATTTGTTGTTACGCATAAAATTAGATACTTCATACTGAACAAAGCCATGCTTACAGGATAACTTCAACAGCATAGTTTATTATAGATCAGTAAACAATTGAATTGGTATTGTAATTGGCATAGGATACAAAGTAGCAACAAATAAATACCTTGATAGCAGTCTCATACATGTTAGCTACTTTCTCTGGTTTTGGTAATATGTACTTTCCCTGCCTGTATGCATTATATAAACTAAATGCATAATAATAGCCAAATAAGCAGTAAGACGGATGGAAAATTCTGCATACTGTCCCATTCTTATTATTCACACTTACAGAGTACCAGTTTTAACCATAAGCTCATACAGTGAAATGTGATTGTCAGCTATTTTCAAGGCATGCTGTAATTCTTTCTGCCATTCTTCAGGTGTCTGGTTCATTCTTGCAAATATAAGATCAATATTTACATTTCCTGGAAAAACCTTTTTTGCGACCTCAAGTGCTTGTAGTCCTTCTCGAGATGTATGATCACGACCAAGTGCAATGAGTGCTTTATCATTGAAAGATTGTAAGCCAAGAGAAAGCCGATTTATCCCAACTGATCGAAAAACCGAAAGAGATTCAGTCTCAACAGACTGCCAGAAACATCACAGATATTTAGTAAAGAATTCAACGTGCTTTTAGAAACTCATAAGTGTCAATTATGCAACATGTTTACTGAAACTACTTAATAATGATACCGTTGGGTTAGCCTACTTGTTGATAAGATGAAAGACTATGATAAGTATAAGTCAAGTCAGTATTCTAGCAATTTGCACATGACGATGTTACAACCTCTATCGTTATTTCGGTTTGAAAAGGTAAATCACACAAGCATGCTATTTTGTTGAGTATAGCTTCGATGTTACTCGGCTGGATTGATGCAGAATAATCCATTTAAAATATTATGCAAACTCTTTTCGCCAACATCTACACCAAATATACAACCTTTGCCAAGCCTACATAAAATATTATTTAGCAAATAAAACCCACCAACACTCAACAACAATCATTAGTTACTTACTCGGCGTTCCCCCTTTGAACAGATTATTATTTATTAGCTCTATTTCAACAGCAACAGAAATCTCACTTATAATCTACCTCCAAAATAAATGCTGTGGACTTTCTTATTCCTAAACCCTTCTTTTTGTATAAGATGCGACAGCTCAGCCAGGTATGCCATCTTCATACCCTCGTGGTCAGGAAAAGGCTTTATGTATTTGTTGAAATTACAATACGTGCATTTGCTATGCGAAAGTTGACAAATTAGCTAAACGCACGTCGCTGAATAACTAAAAACCTATGCACCTGAGACAATACGGCCAATGTATGTAGATGAGAAATCGATTTTCTGATATTGCATTGCTCATGAACCGAACAGTGCTCAACGACGCCGCCATCTCAGTGGATGATGATCGTTATGTGGCTTAATATGTTTTTGATATCATTGAGAGTAATTATATGCTTAGAACTCACCCCAAATTTCTTCGAAAATTCTGCGATGTGGTTGATTTTGATTGGTTTTTTACATATAAGGATTTAATCCGGAGCAACGCCAGCCGCTCCAATCCTAATTTCATGACCATTAAAAGCAGACTTACACTTGACGTCACTTGGAAAATTTTTGCTGATCGATGCCAAACTATAAAGCAGGTAACTACGTATATGCCGTTGGCTTACGGTCGACAATAACACGTTAAACAACAAATACTCATTCTCTACAAAGCAACTTTTGCTCTTTTGGCTCACATTTTAAGTGCTTAGAGTTAATGAGCAATATGTTTATGGGTTAAGTCACTTTCCACTGTTAGGCGAGACGCTTTGATGGACACAAGATATCCCATTCTGTGAATCATAATAACGAAAAAGATTAAAAGTTCAATAGTCGACTACTGGATCGTGTATTTAACTTTCGTCTTGTCATCGTATTGGATCAGACAAAAGCGTTGCATTATCATCAACGAGAAGACTGTCAATTCTAACAAATATTCTATTGCAACATAGGAATAACGTTACCGATTGAAGATGAAGATTGCGTATGTAGGTGAGGTTCAGGTAAAGATACAATCTGCGTATGCTACATAATCGGTACTGTAAAATAAACTTTCGTTTCCGACTTCTCACAAATGTTTATTGCAATATAGAACAATTATAGAAATAACGTTACAGAATGTGAAGACGAATATACGTATTGTGAGTGACATTTAGGTAAAGATACTACTAATCGGCACAGCAAACCATCCTTTTTTTTTTTGAATATTCTATATAGCAATATAGAACAATTATAGAAAGAAACAATGCTACAGAATGAAGACGAATATTTCATATATAACTAGACTCTGTTTTTATTTTTCGGTGCATTGATCTACTGCTGATTATACACACTCGATAAGTCGGACCTCGATAAGTCGGATTTGGCCTAAGTCGGACAAAACTACTCAACCTTTATTTTTTATATCTAAAATTTATTCGGTAAGTCGGACAACATATATAAACTGTCGTTAAGCTGTAAGTCGGACAACCTTCCAGTCAAATAGACTTTCGCTAAGTTGGATTCATGTGATTTGTATAAAGATTGACAAAATTTTTACCAATTTAGTAGCTTGAGTAACTTATCACAAGAGTTGTCGTATATTTCCAAGTAAAAGTAACACTGTAATCATAAATATATGTTTGCATAATATTATGTTCATATCGATCGTATTCAAGAATGACGATTTGAAATGTCACATTATAAAATAACTGAAAGAACAATGCCCTGCTGTAATTTTGCAATATCTATAGATAAAAACAAAGGCAAACAAAGGCCAGGGATAACAAACATCGTAAATGTATAAAATTTGAGTTGATCAAATCTTTTTTGTAGAAGATTACATAACAATCCTGGTTAAATTAACAAATCTTATCGTTATAAGTAAACGACTTGTTTGATTTTTTTTTAAAAGCAACGTAATAAGTGTAAATTTGCTATACAATAAGCGCTTTTAGCAGAAAGTAATAATAAACAAGCTGGTAATTTAAACGGTCAAGTTACTAAAATTAGAAACATTTGCTAATTTTTTATCAACAATCGCAAATTTATGCAATGACGTAAGACAATGGATTACAAAAGAATAAATGAGAACAAAAGGGGTTGTGGCGTAATTATATAGCTGGAAACCTTCAGCGCACGTTCGCGTCATTTTCTTATAAACTTCTCAAAACACGACGACTGTTTAACGAAAACCAAACCTATGATATAACTATTTAAGCCAGCTAACGAACGGTGATAACTGTCAAAAAAAGCGAGTAAAGAAATACCAGTTTACAAAACCGCAAACGTAATATATTATCCGCGAACAAATTTTTCTCAACGAAATTGTCACGTCCAAGCCAAAACCTATCGTTATAAACTCAAACCGAGATTTCTGTTACGATAAACCACTGTATGGTAAGTGGGTGGAGTATAGTGAATGAAGTGGTAAGTGGGGGCAACGTTTATAACAACAAAGCACAGCAAAGTACTATGTTAGGCAAGGCAAGTTAAGCGCGCTCATATGACAAAAACTGATAGTTTTAATCAGTAACAACAACAATACTTGAAGTAACATCTCTCAAGACAAATAAGCGCTATTACATTAACCAAACTTTTTAAGCAACGTTTAAAACGATCCAAAATAACGAACGATATTTGCGTAAATATAGCAAAAAAGAAGGGTATATTGAAGCGGGATAAAAAAGTAAACACTTGCGGCGGGACACGAGTAAGCTCTCATCCGCCTTACGCTAAATAAAGTAAGCACTCGTCTACCGTATGCTAAACAAAGTTAGCGCTCGTCTGCCTGTACGGGCGGACACGAGTAAGCGCTCATTCGCCGTACGCTAAACAAAGTAAGCACTAGTCCTCGGCATGACGCTAAACTGCCACCT